AAAAAAAAAAAAAAGGGTCGGGTTGTTTCATTGGATATTGGGCTTCGCGTTCTTAGCTTGGTTGGATATGAATTTTCAAATTTAACCCGGTATGATGCACTCGAGTGCTTTTCACCTTTTTTTGTTTTCTTTGCGCCACATGGCCGACTATCTGCACGCCGCAATTGACCCTTCGTACCGTTGACAACGTCTGATATGGCTCGTTAGACACTAGGGTGCTTCCTTGGAATCAACTCCTTTGTGTTTTAATAGCTCTCAGAGTAGTATGGACCACATGTTTTTACCTTTTGACATTGAATTTAGACTCAAATAATCGAGAAACTTAAATTTAGTGCCTAAAACCAATATTTCATAATTAGTCCGAATTCATGATACAAGAGAACCGGGATCCGTGAGGGTTGAAGACGAGTACCTCTTCGTTTGACCATTCAGCTTCAAACCCATATTATTTCGAGTAGTGGTTTGCGATACCCAGAGCGGAGATCAGAATTTGGTGGACTCACATATATGTTTGGACCATTTTAGATTCATGCTTCAACACCTTTAAAACTTTTATCAAAGAATAAACTCCACCATTAGAGTTAAGGGTCCTACACAAAACGTGGAATACATAGTATCGAAAGATTTGCTTTTTACCAATTTATATCACCAATCATCTGTGTTTAATATACAAACTTTAGAACCAATTTTCATATTGAAAATGGTGTTACCATCTTTACCAATTTACAGATCTAATATTTTTTGTTTTGTGCCAATTAATCTCTTAAAATTGAAAATCTTTACGACTTTTTGTTTTTGTTTTTTTGTTAAAGAATCTTTACGACTTTACCTCTTGGAATTCCACTTTATCAGCTAAACGTTACGTCACCATTTATAACTCAAGTATAACAATATTTCTTCTTAATTACGTCTCTTGATGATATTTTATCTTCTTTACATTCCATTCCGTAGTGACAGAGTCTTCTTTGTTCTGTTGTTGAATAACTCCAAGTCCCCATCCAACATAAGTTTTTTTATATATAAAGATTTGGTGAATCAGAAACAGAATCATGTTGCTTGTTCTACTGTCAATCCCACATCTGAAAGACAGAACCTTGTGAAACTCAATGTTTGATCATAAAATACTTAAATAAAAATAACTTTAACACCTATGTTGCATGGAAACGTGAAAAAAGTGGCGTTTCCGAAACCGGAAACATCGCGTTTCCTAAATATCCCGATTTGGAAACGTTTTGGAAACGCGGCCGGAAACGTGTTTCCAAAATTGGAAACGCGAATTTTGGTTTTTTTTTAAATTAATTTTGGTTTTGGAAACAAATTAAATAAATATTTGAAAATATAGGGATTTATTTGATATTTTTAATAAGTTTTAAAATCTAATTATTAAACACTAATACATTATTTTTCTCTAATCGTCACCGTAACCTAAAAANGTAGAAGAGTCGAAGAGNTNANCAANNTATTTTTTNCAATTACAGTAGATTTGTTATTGATTATTGAAATTGTGAAGTCGTATACAAAAACGAACTGTTTTTTTTGTTCGAGTCGGATTAGATTTGTGTTGTCTCAAATATTTTAAAACTATTGATAATTTTGGTTTCATG